TTTTTTCTACATACTTCGAGGTACCAGTGGCTTGCGAACGCTGCAATGTTGGGGCAGATGGAGTGTCCCACAGGAGTGCAGGGGGGAAGGGCCCCTGCATGTTCGGCGCTAAATCAGGAAGCGGACTGGAAATTCTTCCAGTTCACTTCCAGGTCTTCCGGGGAGCATGCAGGGCCTCCCCCCTCCCCCCTGGTGCTTCCCCAAACCCAGGAGGCAACAGTAACTGAGCCGGGGGGCAGCACACTCTCCAGCAGGCCCAGAAGTGGACCGGAAGTGTTTCTGGTCCACTTCTGGGTCTGCTGCCGAGTGCACTGGGGAGCCCCCACCCATGCTCCTGTGGGACACCCCATGCGCCCCAACATCACAGCATTCACGAGCCACCTGGTACCTAGAGGTATGTAGAAAAAACATTTAAAGCTGTGTCTTTGTCTGAATCGTCGATTCTTTCCAAATCAGTTTGGAGGGTTCCGATTCGGTTCGGAGGGATTAAAGGTTCCTTCGATTCAAGTTGGATTCATAGATTCAGCCACCAAATCAGGCCAGATCAAATCAGGGACCAAAACTTGGCACAGGCCTACTGTCTGATAAGCAAAGCAAGTACAGGCATGCCTTCGATTATCTCATGATTTCTATACCTTCTTTGCGGAGGCAAGAACCCAGCATAGAACGGGCAAGACTTCAGGCTATGTCACAAAATACCAACACCCAGCAATGAAGAGAAATCACTATGGAAGTCTGTGGAGCCACATCACTACAAAATTGGTCTAAGTGAGATCTGAAGCAGACATCTCATGGCTTAAACACAGCCTCATTTTTTACTCCCCTGAACCTGGCGTGGTCACTTACAAGGCCACGAGGCTGTAAAACAGTATGAAGCTCATAATACAAGCATTTCACACATTGGTAAAAATGGGGTTGCACATGAGGCAAGGCAACAGAGAATCAAGTTTCTTTACTAGGTCTGCCTACAAATGGACCCGTCTCAGAGTCAGGTTTTTCTAGAGCTGCATTACTCAGAAAATGGCGATATTTTATTCCAGTTTGAACATGGGGGGAGAGGAAGTTTATGAATTTACCAGCAGAAAAACACTGATATGTAGCAAAGTAGGGGGAGGACCCTCTCTGTGCAGATAGAAGCAGGACAATTTTGCCCTTGGATCAAATCTGTAAATACTTTTTGACAATCTCATATCGTACTCAGTAAGCAAATGTTGGTTGTTTGGGCACAGATGGCGCACATGTTGTATTTGACTCCTTATCAGAGGATGAGCACATGGGGGAGAGCGAGAGATAAACCACTCGGCAGTCTTGTCACGCGCTTCTAGACTCAAGAAGATTTTTAAAGGCCTTTTTTAAAAATGTTAAGATCATGGCAGCTTAGCAAGCCACTGCAACAGAACTGGTGGAATTCAGCCCTGTGTATGCTCCACCAACCCTCTTAGCTTCTTCCAAACCCTCTGTTATTGCCATTTAGCTTCTCCCATATGTGCACACACCTCCCACACCCACACAATTCCATGCAAATAGTTATCCATGAATAATTGAGTGTTCAGTTTGTTAACACTTAAAAAAAACATTGTTTTAGGTTGGAAAAATATTCAACATGAACTACAATGCCTCAATCATCATTTTTTTTCTTTTTTTTTTTTAATCTTTTTCAGGTAAGAGAAGAACATTTAAAAATATTTAAATTGTTTCATGGAAAATACAAACATTAAAACATCACATCCCAAAAATGTTTATAAATACTCTGACATTTTCAAGTTGTGGGTTTGTTTGTTTTTTTTGACATGGACAATTCCAAAAATGGTCAGAAAAAAAATATATGTATCGTTTTAGGGATTATATTGTCCTAAATACATTGTTCTGAAAGATTATAACATTTAAGCTGCCCACAGTTAAACATCACTGGCTCTGTGCAGTGAAGTGAGTTGGTCTTGTTCCATTTTTGTTTAGCAAGTTAAATGCAATTATCTGAGCAGTGGGAGAGCATAAGGAAAAGTCAACTTTGATTTTAATTTTTAATCAAATTCAAACTATTATTTTTAAATCTAAAATAAGAAAAGGATCCTTTTTGATGATACGCAAGACCCAATTCTAATCTCACCCAGCCAAGCGTAAGAAATGGACATTTTTACAAGCTGTCAGAAGCAGAACAGATGATGTGAACTGTTTCTCTTCCCACAGTTACCCCGGGGTAGCTGAAGCTAAGCCAGGACAAGTTAGACTTGTTTCATTCTGGGCTAAACTAAAGTTCAGGGATGCACTAAAACCACAGCATAAGGAGGCCCCATTTCAAGTGTGGTTCCCATATCTAGGTACCAGGCACCATAAAAGCAAACACTGCATGCACCTGGAAAAAACCAAGAGGTTATTATGATTAGGATGAGTATACAGGGACAAAGCACTGTCCTCCATTATCCTTATCATATCCCTGTAACACCAGGAATATTGTTGTGCCTATGGTACTGCAGACCCCCCCACACTGGTTCTGCAATCCCTGGCAGTAGCTCACGTGGGCTGTTACTTTGATTCTTTTAAGGATTGTTAAAAAGGCAACATCAAGAAACGCGCCCAATATTCTGCACCAAACTGCTCGGTTTTGTATTTAAATGACTGCTTATTATGCAGCAGCCTTGGGGACTCCTTCCCAAAAGATATGCAAAACACCTCTTGGAAAACACTGTTGTTCTCCAATGTGAGAATGAATCAGACTATGAAAGGTTCCTTCTTTGTGGTCTTGGATTGTTCCTGTAAGTAGCTTTAGCACTTAATCTGGTCCCCCTGCTTTCCCCCAATCCTTTTTCCTGAAAATGGAATTCTTGCAGTCCAAGGCTTCTTCCACACAGGCTGCATTAACATTAACCCGAGCCATGATGCTTTGTATCAACTGATGATGTGAGATTGGCTTTAAAAATGCCACAGGTGGATGCCTTTCTAAAAGCTGCATGTTGTATTTCAGTATCAAGTTATTGCGATTAGGGTTGTTGACTTCTACAAAGAATACCTTATTTACTTGAATAGAAGACAACCCCCCCCGCCCAAAATTGAATTCTATGTATGGAAAATTCATAAATTGTTATAATTTCTCAGGTACAGAATCTAATTATTGGAGGTTTACCTTGATTTTTTCCCCCTCCCACTGCTATAGCAGGGGAAAATAGATCTGGGGGTCTTTACTTTCTGCTTCCCCCCAAGTTTTTTTCCCCTGGCAGCCCATTCCCCCTCTCTTTACTGTCAAACCCTGCTCTCCCTAAGCAGGTGGAAGTGAGGAGCAAATCTGAAAACACAGTCCTTGAAATGTAACGTGGCTATAGCAATGTGCATATGCTACCCATGCACTTAGCTTACCCACAATTGATGCATGTTACTTTTTTTGAAACTGCTGCAAATTCTCACACAGGTACTCCAAAACGACACTTTTGAGCAGCACTTTGGCACTTACATGTATGTAGTAGAAACTACGCATGATATTGGGCCAAAGCCAAAGGTTCGTGATTTACTACATAGTTCACTGAGCTGGGTCCCACCAGAGTCAGCAGCATGGCAAGCCATGGTGACCTCACAGCTCAGTACTTCTTAGTAGGTGTGCGCAATCCAGTTACCCCCTACTAAGGATGCATGTGCTAATTAGCCCCCACTCACAACTGGAATTGGGTGCTCTTGTCAAGTCCTGGGATTCTCCAAAAATGTATATGCAGATAAGGCGCACGTCAACTTGGTTCGGCTTCACCTCAATGAGGCTGAGGCCCTTCTAATTCTATGGGCCAAGCTGAGCAAAGGGCCAACAGGGGGATTATGGGTGAACTGTGTGCAATTTTGTGGCTCACCATGGTTGGAAAACAAATCAGCAGCGAGGGGGACTGTGCTTAAACAGGCACTACCATGTGGCTTATTCAGATGGGCTGCACTAATCTATCCTTGTGGTCCCTCCCCGCTGCTGGAGCCTAGTAGAGGCATCTGAATCCTGAGTCCTGTGGGCTTGGGCCTGCATGTAGGATGCCTCCCAATGGATTTGTGAGTATCTGAAATCCCAGGATGAGAGTCTGAGATGGAGGATGCTTGCTGGTTATAGCACCACACATGGTGTTTAGAATGATTGAGTTCTTTCTACTCAATCTATACAGTTTTTGACAATTGTATTCTACTCAGTCAGTATGATTTGGAACTGATTTAGCTCATTTGACTTGGAACATGAAATATATTATTAAAAAAAAAAATTAGGTTCTCATCAGCATCTTGGCCTTTCAGGCTAAGATCACACGTAGCATTTTTAGCACCAAGAAGGTGTCAGGGCTGGCTCAGGCCCTCCCAATACTGGCCTGGTATTGCAATACTCCAGACTTAGCGCCAGTTCCATGCAGAGGAAACACCTGACCATTGTTTTTAAGGGCCACAAAAAAAAAATTCCCCATCAGCATGTCTGCCCTATGTGGACCATGTGTTTTAGAGTCATGCTCAGTGTTGGCTCCATTTAATCAGCTTCATAGTTGATTTCCATTGCTGAGCACATGGTGCTTTTGGCAGAAGCTTAATGTTAGACATTGTATGTAGTGCGATTTCTTTGTATGCATTATAAGATAAGGGAAAACTACGTCTTGTATTTATTAATTATAAGAGGAGGGAAGACTATGTCTTGTATTTGAGTAAATATGGTAATTTCCTCTACTGCAGAAGTGACTGGGTGGAATTGTAAGGCCTAGGTTCTGTAAAATGTCAGAGCAGACGACCACAATAGTCCTTTCTGGCCTTAAATGTTATAGCAAACAGGACTGGAAAATGTTTCAGTGGAAAATTTTCAACAAGTGCATGTTTCAGAAAAAAGCCACTGCACGATATGGGCTCCAGCTCCAAGCCCACGTGAAAAACAATACGCAATCGTTCCTTCTAGTTCCCTTCCAAAGATGTATGTTTGCTCCTACATTAACAGCATTCTCTGAAGATTGTTGCTGTTGTGGCATTTACATAGCTAACCATTTTTTCCCCCACCCCCTCAATAGGAATTTCCCCTGGCAGTCGTCAGCGGGCCAGAATGCTACTGCGGATACCCCACCACACACTTCACACTTCACGACAGCATGGACAGGCTGTTCTGTAGTAGGCTGCAGAATATCAGCAGCACAGTCAAAGTGCCAAGAGAGGAAAATTATTGTCATGTCTACCAGACTCCAGTGCAAGGTAAAAGCTGTAACCAGTCAGTTCCTTACTGGGTGTAGATCCATGAAGTCAATAAAAACTACGCTCATATATACCAACTGGTCATAGAGGGGGTTAGCCAGAAAATTTCTGCCTACCTCTTTCTAAATTATCCTTGTAGTTTCCGTAGCACGTGGTGACCATTTTTTTACCCTTGGCCAAACTGTTTTGTGGCTTTATCATGAGCTGCTGAAAAAAAGCTTCTGTTTTCTGTCTTAGCGATGGCTTCATTTCAGTGCCAGGAAAAGCGTTTCCTGAATGTATGGTTTTGAAATGCTTTAAGGTCTTTGCCATTTTCTCCCACCTTGTTCTTCCTTGTCATGTCCGCACAGTTACTGATGACATTATTCTCCCTTCCTCATTGTGGTTCCAAGGGCTCCAATTTCTCTGGTTTTTAGTGGGCGATTCCCTTCAGCACCTCCCTTCCCTCTCTTCACCAGCTTCTCTGGGTCCTGTCCATGGTCCTGTACACACAGTAGCCTTAGAGGTAGATGAGAACAGGTGGTTGGAGGTGCCTGATTTAAGTAGCCTTAGAATGGTTTGCTATTGAGAAAATACTGAAAACCTACCGTCTGAAGAAAAAAAAAAAATCGGGACCCATTTAAGGCATCTTGGGCTGAGTACCTAAGTAGCGAGGCACCCAAACTAACTGGTTCAATTGAAAATTTCAGCCATCTCTTTCCAAGCGGTGTGCTTCGATTTCATGGTTTCATCCACTGCCCCTTTCTTCTGTCTGTCCCAAACTCACAGAAGCAAATAGCACCAATGAACTGCCTCTTCAAACTCATTCTCTCCAAAATCCAAATGCTTACCCTCTCGCATCAATTCACTCCTTTGCTTTAGCTCCCTGTTCACACTGAAAAGTCACTAAACTCATACCCTCACGTCACAATCTCTGGTATATTTAACTCTTCATTCATTTGCCCTCTCCCCAATTTCTCATATCAGCTCCACCACTTCATCACTGCCAAAATCTGACCTTCCTAGCTTTCATTGCTACTAAAATTGCTGTCTCTTGGCTCATCTTCTACCTAGATTTTTATGAATCCCTCAAGGCCCCTTGCTTTAAGCTTCAATGACTTGCACCAGTTGAAGTTTTAAGTCAATGGAAGATCCCTACTTACATCATCTGATGATTTGGCCCTCTCTCAGATTCAAGGAAAGGCTGTAGGTAGAATCTAAGCAGAAGAATTTTTTTTCCCCCATGAGCTTTCCAGCATTTCCTGCTTCCACTTAGGCTGGAAATAAAAGAAGAGCAGACACCCTCATAGCATTCTAGCACTTTATAGCCTTGGCTTGATCCCAGGCATTAATAAGAATGTGCTTCAAAAATAGAAAAGTAGTCAAAAAATGTAAATCCATTTTCCACATTCTTTTTGAATTTTCACTAAAGATAAAGTTGGTTCTCATTTCTTGCTGTATATTTCTTATCACTAGGGTGACCGTAATAATTTGAAGGAAATCTGGGATGTGGAGTGGGGCCGGGCAGGACAGGACAGTGCAGCATGGCATGTGTACATACACCTTCCCCCCGCCCCAGCTCCCAAGAGCAGGGTGGGGAAGATCAATCACACGCAGCCCCAACCCACCCAAAGCTCCTAGGAGCAGGGCTGGGCAATGACCCTGCAGTTCCTTTTCCCTCACTCTACTGGGCCAGAGACTCCACTCACAGCCCAACAGAGTCCAGATCAGGGATCAGCTCATTGGTTGGCCTCCCTAGAGAAAACTGAACTTTCCTATCAACTTTTTTGACCAATCCAGGACTTTCATATCAATTTTTTTCCAGTGATGGACACAGAGACAGCTTCTGAAATCTGGGACTGTCCCAGCCAATCCAGGACATATGGTTACCTTACAATTTCAATTTCTAATGGTGTCTAAAATACCACGGTTAGGATTCTCAAAGGCATCTATGGAAATTAGGTGCTTAATGCTAACTGGAAATAAATGCGAGTTGCATGCTTAACGAACACAGCCCCTTTTAAAAATCACATAGAAGAGGTTTAACTGAATTCCAGTTCATTTCAGAAGGAGGCACTCCCTATAAAGCTTTTGATTTGCAGGGATAATGGCACCTTCAGGCTTTCAGTGAAGAGCCAGCCTGCCAGGCAAATAGCTGTTAACAAACAATCATGAAGGAGCTTTTACCTCAACTTGTTGGCAAGTACAACAGTTTGCCACAGTTCTTCTAACAAAGTGTTGCTTAACACAAAGCCAATGAAAACCTGTAGTAAGAATAATCTCTTCGGCCTCTTAAAGCTGAATTAATTTTTGGAAGTAGCTGAATCACTGCTGAACTCAAATTAATATCCTCTGCTATAAACGGGAAAATGAAGCAGCAACCCAGGTAATCAATAGCTCTCAGTAAAATTACTAAGAGGACACCATGCTAACACTGAAATACATTTTGTGTTTACAGACACCCGATGCACAGACAGGAAGTTCCTGACAACCAAATCCAAAGTGTTTGTTGCTCTGTCAAGTTTTCCTGGGGCTGGGAATACGTGGGCTCGTCATCTAATAGAACATGCCACGGGATTCTACACTGGAAGCTATTACTTTGATGGGACCCTGTATAACAAAGGTATTGTTGTCAGAGAGGTGCAACAACAAAAGTCAGTTTTAATACACAAATCTTATTGGACCATGTACAAGCATTACATTTCTATTGGGAAAAACACCATTCTCCTGGTAGAAATAAGAAGCCAACAAGCATTCACTGAATTTCTCCCAGGGAAAAAAGTGCCTCTTCTGGCAGAAGATCTTCCAGGTTTCAACTAGGTCTTGTGAAAGAATTTCTGCTCCCTGACTCTTGCCCAAACCAAGGACTGCCTAAGTTTGGGGAAGGTGCTGAGGGATTTGCCCCACAACTCCTTGCCTTTTCCCCAAACTTGGTAGTTCCTGGTTTAGGGAAGAGGTGGGGGGCTCTGCTGGCCCCTATGGCTTTCCATTGCTGTCCCAGCCACCTAGCTGGGCAGCAGGGGTGGGTACTGCATCACTTGGGGACTGGGAATTGGGCTAAGGGAGGCTACCCCCAAACCCAGCTCCTGGTCCCAAGCTTCAGATACCACCCTTGCCATCCAGCTAGGCAGTGGGGCAGGGACTACAAAGCCCAGCAATCAGGAATCAGGCTTGGGGAGGTTGTCCCCAAAGCCAGCTTCTGGGCTTCAAATGCCACCCCTGACACCTCGCTGGGCAGTGGAAGTGAGGATTTCAAATCCCCAGGGGCTGGAAACCAGGGCCAGGGCTGCTATCCTCACCCCAGTTCACCACCCCACAGGTTTTAAATGCTGTGTGGGCTGCTCAGCTGGGTGGTGCATGCAGTGATTTAAAAGCTGGGAAGCCAGGACCCAGGGTGAGGAAAGCTGTCCCTAGCCCTGCTTCTCTGTGCCTCTGGCTTTAAATTACCCCAAGGACAGCCCATCTGGGCTGCAGACAAGGTGATTTAAAACCTGGGGGGCTGCCTATTGACGACTCGCCTCCTTTCCAGGCAGGGAAGAGGACAGACTGTCCTCTGGAGGGCTGACCTATGAGCAGAAATAGCCCAGGAAGCAGCCTTGTAGTGCCTCCTGGCTGAAGACCCCACCTGTTTAGCGCTCTAGCTAGGGGACCAGAGCACATGTATGCTTCAGTTTTGGAGAAATTCTTGCCATTAAAAATGAATTCTTGTATGTGGCCTTGTTCTGACACTTTTGTTTGGAGTGAATAAGATTATCATTACTCATAAACATACTTGATAAAAATTAAATCTCACACAATGTAGCATAAAGAGAGACTGGTTGAATAGAATACAAAAAAAAAAAAAAAAAAAAAAGCGCTGATTCTTGAGTATTTTCCTGAATACTCGCTCCGATTTGTGAAATCAAAAATAGATTCTCAAGTGAGCATACTGTTTCCACCACTGGAGAAGGCAAGGTAGAGATGTAGATTAACTGAATCAGAGATGCATGAGCTTCCAAGAGCAAGACTTCCCTTTGATTGATGCTAACCATGATGGAAATTAACCCGTCTTTTTTTCATCACTGTTGGCTTTTCCTCGCATGCGCGCACACACAAGCTTTTTTAGTCCTTTCTTCAGATCTGGCCTATAAAAATACATTTTTAGCAAAACATTTGCTAAATTTGGGGATGAGATTTGAAGGCACCAAAGGATGTACAGTAAGATTTTCTAGAGCTGATTCATGATTTTGGGTATCTGCTAGAGAAACCTTGAAGAAAGCAGTAAACCTTTTTCTGAGGCTGGGGGAGCGGGGGAAAGAGAACAGGCTTTCCAAAAGACATCTCTGATTACCCAGAAACAGATGCACAATGATCACAACTTGCTCTTAAAAAAAAAATCTTGGCCTTAGGCACTTTAGTCCCATTTAAGTTGTTACTGCCTCCCTTGACACTCTCACAGGTAAGGTAAAGAAAAACAGTCTAGATGTAAGGCAAGTGCTTATCTAGTTTTATCATCATGTTCAAAGATTAGTCATCAATGCCTCAGTGTGTAACTGGGAGGAGGCATCAGAATTGTAGACAAGTAGGGCTGGAAAGGACTTCCAGAGGTCATCTAGTCCAACCCCCTGCCTCATGCAGGATCATCCCTATTGAAACCATCCTATACAAATCTGTTGGCTAACCTATTAGCAAGCCTACAAGAACTCTGACACAATGACCAATGTCCTCCTGCTGCAAAGGTTGTTAAAAGTCACTCAGAAAATCCAAGGAAGAGAGCCACCCCATTTCCCCCACCCCGCATGAGAGGAAGGTAAAACCTCCCACAATCTGTACCAATCTGACCCCATTGGGTACAATTCTTTCCTGACCACAAATATGGCAATTGACCTGTATCAGAGTGGAGGGGCAAGACCTTTTCACCAGGCACCTCTGCATTTAAGCCCCAATGGGAGCACTGGCACACATCCGTCAAAATCCCCAGCCCTGGCCGCAGCCAGCACCCAGTGTTTCCAAGCAAAGTTTAAAAAAAAACCCAACCAAAGAAAGCCTGACAACAGCAAGACAGGAAAATTCCCCCCAGCACCATGTGGCAACCAAGCAAAGACCAGAAGTATGAGAAACACTCATAATAGACCAGTGGCACAGCTATGCCTGGGTCATCCCAAGTAGGATTCCCCAAGGGTGATGACACCAATATGACTGGAGTAACAAATACTCTGGAGCACAGGATTAGGATTCAAAGGGACCTTGATAAATTGGTGAAATAATCCAACAGTAGTAGGATGAAATTCAAGAACAAATGCACAGCACTGGGGCTTTTTAGTTTAGAAAAGACTGGGAGTGGGGAACTGGATGATAGTTGTCAAATACAAAAAGGATTGTTATAAAGAGGATGGACAATAATATTTTCTTTGTCCACAGTGGACAGAATTGGTCACATCAGTCTTAAACTAAAACAAGGGAATTTTTGGTTGGGTATTAGGAATAACCTTCTAACTACAAGGGTAGTTAGGTGCTGGAGCAGATAAACAGATAGAGGGGCTGTCAAGTTTTTAAGTGCAACTTAGATAAATTCACTCCCAGGATGGCTTAGGCTGGGATGCAGGAACTGGACTAGATGACCTCCTGAAGTCCCTTTCCGCCCTATGTTTGTATGTTTAGGTATTAATTTTGAGGCAGCAGAAAGGTGGTCCTGATATGGCATAGGATATTACTGTGGCAGACAGCGAATCAAATAATAAGATGAACAGCTGGTCATCAAAAAAGCCAGGAACAGAGTCCAAACCTTCTGGGTCTCAGTCTGATGCCCTAGGTACAAAACCGCATCATCCCTCAGTTTCATCCAGATTTTGTACCATTCTAGATTCTGCTTTATAATGCACAACCTGGCCATGTTTTAAATCTGGTAACCTCGTGTTTTAAACAAAAACAGGCTTCAAAGGAGAAAAAGATCACTGGAGAAGCAGGAGGACTATCTGTGTGAAGACGCACGAAAGTGGCAAGCGAGAGATTGAAATGTTCGACTCTGCCATTTTGTTGATAAGGAACCCATACAAATCTCTCATGGCAGAATTCAATCGGAAGTACGCCGGCCACTTGGGATACGCCACAGACCAGAACTGGAAGAGCAAAGGTAACCTTCCACCTGTTGCTAACCAGCATCTACACTAGGCTTCAACCAAGCTACAAATGTAAGGTGCTGCTGGTGAAGGCCTGATATGAAGTCAGTGAGAGCTGCGGTTTGAATTGGGTCTTAAGCAGAGATAGGCCTCCACAACCCTCAGGTCTGAATTTTAGCAATCCTTTAGCAGCAAGCAACATGCCCTGTCACAGGACTCCCGCAACACTAAAGCTCTAGTAGAGACCATGGCATTTTACACCTTGGCAGAGGGAATTTCTCTTGGCATAGCATCTTTGTATTCAGCCCATTTCCTCAGCATCTGCGCTACGCAGACAATTTGCCCTTGCAGTAGTTAACAGCTGTGAACAAATCAATGTGAGGTTTCAAGGATATGGTAGAATCCGAGACTTTTCTGGGGGATATTTTAAAGCGCGTCATAGGTGCTGCTGTACTACAGGTAAATAAAGACCAGGGTACATGTGAAACCTGTGTTCATCGGCCACATGAAAAGATTTAATGAGCATGTGAGCATGTCATTCCCTTTTTGGTGCATGGCTGATGAACTGAATTATACAACACCCGTGTCCCCACAGAATACGCCGGTATTTTCAGACTTTGCCTCCTGTGCATCCCAAGCATTATAAATTAGGGATTGGCAAGCCACACAGGCTTTTTGGGGAGGGATCTTTGACATGGCCTCTATTCACCCTAAACCCATACATCCCCTACAATGAAAAGATTATTCATTTAAAACTAACCAACCACAAAAAGTATGTGACAAGAGGGAATTCCTTAAATTAAGGTCAAAAGGGCCGTTTTTTTTACTGCCGTTTCAAGCAAAAGAAAAGCTCTGATGATCCAATCACTCCCTGAAGTTTGTAGGGTCAAAAATTAGAGCAGGGGTGGGCAGCCTGCAGCACTGGGGCCACATGCGGCTCTTCAGAAGTTAATATGCATCTCCTTGAATCTTTGCACAAGCACACGGCGACCAGTTTCTGTTTGGTGGGTTTTGCACAAGCACACGGCGACCATTTGGAAGCTGGTCACTGTGTGCTTGTGCAAAGATTCAAGGAGACATATATTAGCTTCTGAAGAGCTGCATGTGGCTCCAGAGCCGCAGGTTGGCCACCCCTGAATTAGAGCTAATACTGTGGGACCGTTATTTTCCCCATCTTTGAGGAAAAAGTTTGAGAAAATAGTAGTAGTATGACTAAAATCATCTAATTTTCCCCCCATCTTTTCCCCAATGTTTAGAATGGCCAGACTTTGTAAACAGCTACGCATCATGGTGGGCCTCTCACGTCTTAGACTGGTTAAAATATGGAAAACATCTTCTTGTCATTCACTACGAAGACTTAAAACAGAACCTCATCCCCAAGCTGAAAGAAATGGTGGAATTTCTAAATGCGACCGTGACAGAGGACCGGCTGCTGTGTGTTGAAAACAACAGAGATGGGAATTTTAAGCGGTCAGGTGCTAGGCAGAAGGATTTTGAGCCATTCACCCAGGAAATGAAAAACCTTATCGACAGGTACATCCTGACAGTGGATGAAGCCTTGAAAGGAAGAAACTTCACAGGGCTGCCGAGAGAGTATGTTCCAAGATGATATCCCAACAGCACTTAGCCGTGCTTAAAATTAAAAAAAAAAAAAAAAAAAAAAAAAAAGACCAGAGCTTTATAGCAGCAAAAGCAAAGATGCTCATGGAGTCTGCTGAGGAATGCAAATTCTCTCCACTCTTGGATGTTCTTCAGGGGCACTAAGTGCTTCAAAAGGCAAGCAATGAAGGATGGAAATTGGGTTATAAACCAAGGCAAAAAGCTATTAGTGTCCGCCTGCGTGTCCTTCCCAATATAAATGGCTAAGAATTTAACAGTTGTGCGCTGCTAATTCTGGAAAAGGGTTCCTCCTTCTTATCCTTTCTGCCTACTAGCAATACCTGCCCAGAGTAGCTTGAGATTTTGCAGTATTTCAATTTGGTAATTCACATCTATGTAAGAAAAAAAAAATCCACAAAGTCTGCTAAATATTTTTATCCGATCATTTATGAAAATTAGTTGCTTTCTTCTTAGAAAAGGTCTTCCCTCTCCCCTTCTCCTAAATCCTTTTAGTCACCGTCCACTCCACCCTACAACCTCAAAATAGACTTGTGTTTGTATGATTTGTGTTGGGGAGCAGCAGGAAAAGAAATACATGTGCAGCAAACTCTTCTCTGGACAGACAAAGCTTTTGTAAGGCTTACTTTAAAAATCCATGCTTGGGCTGACCCGCTGACTTGTCAGAAGTTGCAGTGTTGCATGGTGGGCCTGCTTCAAGACTCACTTTGGGCTTTGATCACAATATAGGACCAACAAACATGCTGGAGGAGATATTACTGCAATCTAGCGGGGTGTGGGCAGGCCTTGTTTCTCTGGTTCACACGCTGAAGCCAGTTCTTCAGCCTTTAGTGTGTTGCCAAGTTTGAGCAAGACAGGTAAGAAGTCCTACCAGGAGGAAATGGGGATTTGCTGTAACAGGATGAAAAAAGCTCCATGATATCACCCTTTCAATACAGCCCCCAATATAAAGACAGACCTCAGGTTTGGCGAGGGCCTTATACATACCCTTAACAAGGTTGGGGAAGTGTGAACTTCTGTTACCGGTGAGTCTTATATCCAAGTCCAAAGTTTACTGCCTCCACCAGGTCTCCTCTCCGTGGGAGAATCAGGATGGGTCTGGTGAGCCAGTTGGTCTCAAAAGTGAGCCAGGACTCGTACAGTTCTGAAGAGTCAGGAACCTGCTTCGTTACAGGAAGGAGATTCGGAGAGGAGCCAAAATTAAGAGATTAAAAACCAGCCAAGTGTGAGAACTGGGGAATGGATCACAGATGGCCTTGAGGAGAACAGAGTCCTTTGAACAAGTGCAGCTGACAGGGACGGGGTGTGAAGAGGACTGCTTGGCATGCTGACATGCAGTATGCACACTGGTCTCTTAGGCAAAACATTTTTAAGGTAAAAGTCTCATCTACATGTCTAAGCTCTATAAAACAGAAAGATTAAGCTATTCATTACTTTCCTCAGGAGTCATCTCTAGCATTCTAGTGCTGTCATTTAGCATTAAAGGTGAAGTAACTTTCCTTCTGGGATAGTGGATAGTGTAGTTCCAGTGTGTAACAATGGTGGATGTACACTGAAAGGTGGATGGTGCTTTATTTTTTGTTCTTAA